ATTCACATTTAGAATGGAACGATGTTATCCGCACTGTTAATATGACAAGATATTGAATGAGTGTATTACGCATAATGAGATTATGTGGAACAGGGACACAGACACAATATGAATTTCTAATAATTTCTGAGTTCTAAGAATTTCTAATGAGTGTATTAAGTATAGAAATTCTAATTGAGTCTACCGATGGTCATATATAGACTGATCTTAATCATGAGTTCTTAGCAGACTCCTATTTATGGATTTGTGTCTTTTAATTTACTCAGTACGTATTCTGAGACCCTGAATCCTATTCCTTATATTTTGGAGACATGATGAAGTAGGTAGCCGGGAATGTTATTATATGAGATGGAATCCATTCCTTCTTGAGAAAGAAGCAGATAAATAATTCCCTTGAGTGTTGATTCGGTACTTGGATTAGTAAGAGCGCTCTGGTTCATGAATGTGTATTATGAATCACTATCCATTAGAGAATCAATGGTACTCAAGAATGAAGATATAATTAGAGAGGTTAACGGATTCTACCTAGCTCTAATTATGAATTATTTATGGAGGATTAATCTATATGCAGTGACTATATCAAATGGACACTTCACAATTTAGAAGTAATTTATGTCTATAATTTCGATAGTGTTATTCCAAGTTTATAGTGGAGTAACTATTAGAATTAATTAATTAATTAAAGTGTTTAATTAATTATTAATTTTATTGGAGCTCGGGATTATAGGTCCATTAGTTCCCGCGTCGTCCTAGTAATTCTACAAAACACAAAGGGTAAAATGAGAATTTTAGAATTACAGAATTCTAAAATTAAGCACTCGAGAATAATTATTTAAGAGTTAATTATAAATTAAATAATTTGATTATTTAAATTTGAATTTGAATTTTGGATCACTTATGTGAAGGTGTTAACATAGTGTGAACACAAGGCACAGTGTGAACACATAGTGTGAACACAGAGTGTGAACACACAGTGTAAACACACAGTGTGAACACATCTAGATTTATCCATTTAAACTTTTTTGATAAATTATTCAATTTAGAATTCAAATTTATTTTAGTTTGACTTAAATTGGAATTTGAATTTGATTCAAAATTGGACTGTAGGATAAAGGATGATTTTCTCTTTCTTCCCTATCTGTAATTGGTGTCATACAGGGATAAGAATCCCCATACATGGCCGGCCACACCTAGGATATGAAAGTGGGAGATTTTGTTCCAAATTCAAATAGGAAATAATTAACAAGCTTTATCTTAGAGATAAAAATTGGATTCCTTCTAGGAGTTTGACTTCTACTCTATAAATAAGAGAATAGTAGAAAATTGTAAGACACAATTTTTGCACCAAATTTTAGGAGTGTGGCCGAATTTTTCTAAAGAGTGAGAGGAAAAAATTTTCTCCAAAAATTCCACAACGTGCATGTGTTGGTGTTTGTGGAAATTCGAGTGTTTATAACAACCTGTTTTGTCTTAGGTGTGCCCACACACACGTCTTCGGGGTTCTAAGAATTGACGTGGAAGACATTGATTTTTTAAACACAAGGCTTTGGCGTAAGGATTATTCGTGGTCAAAGAACTCAAGCTATCATACTAACCGGTAGCTAGGTATAATTTCTAATTGAGTTCTTATTAAATAAATTAATGTGATTAATTTATTTGTGCATAAATTAATATAATCTATAGAGTATCTCAAGAGTTTTAAGAAAATTTTTGTTATACATGATCCGTTACCCTCACGCTTCCACATCAAAATTCGACTCAGAAACCAACAGTAGATTTAATGCTTGTAAGAACCAAAATCAATCTTGTTCTCTTTGGTTACTACCTTAAATCTATGCAATATTATCTCTAATTCTTTTAATGTGAGTACCTATTTCTTTTAAACCGGATTTAACTATTAAATTAATTACGTGGCATGCACAATGTTGGTGAAAAATAGAACCACCACCAAATAAACTCAAATCATTTTTTAAGTACTCAATTACTTTAGTATTTGCACTAGCGTTATGTAATGTTATAGCCATTACTTTATCTATTAATCTAAATTCATCAATTACATTTAAAATTGTATTATATATTAAATCGGCGTTATGTGATCCTAAAACACATTTAAAACTAAAGTAATGTCTGGTTATAGATAAAAAATCTTTATTGGCAACAGCAGACTAAATATATGCCGTTAGCGCAACGCAACCGCTAGTCGAGTGTAAAAGGTTTATTAATGCTTCTTTTCATTTTTTAAATAATTTTAATAAATCTTTCCTAAGAGTAGTTTTTGAAGTGAACTGTACAGTATGATTATATACAACTTTAATATATCGTTGCAGATTAGGATGCTCTACAAAATTAAGTAGTTGATCTAATGCTGCTACCATTCGCGCAACTTCCATACAATCTACTTGCGGATCGTATTTCTAAGTGGTTAGACCACCGGTTGCGCGATCAAAACATAATTGTGTTTGGCGGAGTTTGGCTCCGCTGGACTAGCTAAGCTTTTGAAGACACTTTTCGGAGTGTCTTCTCAAGTGTGTTGTGCCGTGAATAGTATCAAATTGTAATTTGGATAAACAATAGTTACACTAAACAATATGTTTAGTATTACCTTCATTGTCGATCTCCTCAATTGTGTCGAAGTGATCCCAAACTGTTGAGGTGCATTTGCATTTCCTCTTGGAGGTTGCAACACTTGCAGACGCAGTACGTCCACGCCCACCACCATTGCGATCACTACCTCCAGTACATCCACCATGGCTCGGATTAATAATATTTGCACTCGCCGCTTCTCCACACCCACCACCATTGCAATCACGTCATTCAGTACGTCCACCAGGGCTCGAATTAGTAGATTCCTGCCTAATAAATTCATTAGTGGGAAATTACCTTTCTTCCACGTTGTGCTGGGTATCAACAGGAATACCACTATAACCAAAAGAATCCGTTATAAAAAATAAGAGCGATTTGAGAGAGAGAACTTTAGGATATTGTGATAGTTTTTTGAAAAAATTGTGAGAGAGATATGAGAGATTGAGAGAGATTGAGAGAAATTGAGAGAGATTGAGATAGATTGTGAGAGATTGAGAGAAATTGAGAGGGATTGAGAGAAAATGAGAGCGATTGAGAGAGATTGAGAGAGTTTGGGTGAGGAAAATGTGTGGGGGATAAGTTATTTATAGAAAAATTTTTGGGTTAAAAAATTGATATTTTTCCCCCAAATTCGGATCCAACAATTTTTTTTGACTCAGCAAGTTGGGTTCGGGCCGAAAATCAGGCAACGGTAAAAAAAAAACTGTTGGATTCGGGCAGTTCGGGCTGCGGTTCGGGTTAGGCACCAATGGTAAAAAATATATCCATTGGTCGGGGTCGGGCTTCGGGCAATTTGGACCGCTCGGGCCTGAGTGAAAAAATTCAAAAAAATTTTGGCGGACGGCGATATCACGGTGGCGGGCTCCGGCGAATTGTCCATTTTTGGGCAGCCCGAGCCCAAGCCTGAAAAATGGAGTTGAACGGGTCAGCCTTTGGGCCTGCCCGCCAAGCCTGAAAAATTCATGCTTCGGGCAAGCCCGCCGGCGCAAAGTTTCAACACTGGCCACGGGAAAGAAGGGAAGGGAAAAAGAAAAAGAAAAGAAAGAAAAGAAAAGGAAAAGAAAGAAGAAAAGAAAACGAAAAGAATTAGGGAAAAGTAAAAGAAAATACATTAAAATTAAGTGTACTGTCAAAAAATTTTAGGGTGAAATCATAAATATTAAAAATAACTTAAAGTTTCTTAATTAATTGAGAAAATTAAATTAGACATACTAATAACTCATAATTTAACATAATTAAACATATTTAATTCTAAAAGGCGTTACATTACTTTAGAGAGTAACTTTGATATAATTGTCATATTTAACATTTCCATCCATTTCTAATAAAGTAACTACCTTTGGCAATTGTTATCAGTTACCATCAGAATTTGTTATAGCTTTCAACACACGACTATTTCTAAGAGGGAGAAAAAAAAATTATTGAGTTTTCACAAGTCCAATTTTACGGTTTTCATTTAAAAATTAATAGATGACAGCCCATAACACTTGTTTTTAGTTTGGGGTTATTTATTCGAGAAAATTTATTAAGCGACTAATTCTAGAAAGAAAATAGAACTAAGAGACAAATCATAGATTTACTCCAAAATTTTGTACTTATTTAGCATAACAAACAGGGCAATAATGCAAAGAATGTTTAGTTGGATGATTTAAATTATGATTTGAATCATAATTTATAGTTTGTTACAGTATTTTTTCTCATAAAAAATGCACGTAAATAAAAAATAATTATAATCACATAATTCTAATCTATAAATTAAACATCACCGTAATCTTATGGAGCCAAGTTATCCATTATGTCGTTTGACCATAGCTTCACAAAGTTAATTTACGCCCACTAATATTTGGGATGACATTCCAAAATAAATAAAGTTGATCCAAATATGACCAGCAAAAAAGTTGATCCAAATATGACCGGCAAAAAAGTTGATCCAAATATTTACTGTTAACGTCAAACGGTTGCCAGTCAAGAAAAAACAAAAACTAAACAAAAAATCATTATTTTTTGTCTCATTCACCACACTAAAAAAATATTTTGTTCATAAATTATAATTATGATATTAAAATAATTTTTAATTTATGTGTATTTTTTATGAGAAAAAATACTGTAATAAATTATGAATCATGATTTAAATTAAGGTATAAATTCTCTTACCAAACGTCTCCTGATTCAAATTTTCACTTTTAAATTTTTATAATTAAAAATTTTTAAAAAATATTACATTTTAATTTTTTTATTACAATTAAAAATTTTAAAATACATCTTAATTTAAATTAAAAACTTAAATTAACAGCAAATAAGCTTTCCAATGTCGTTGATCAAAGCTCTCGGTTAACTTTTAGAGAAAGTCATATCTAAATGCGTTGAACTATAAACAAGCCCTAATAATGAAAAATAAATAGAACAGAAGAAAGAAATGAGACGGAAGCTGCGCGAGGCCAAAAAAAAGGAGAAAGTCCACTGCAATTGGATAGGATAGATAGATCCTACATTTCTATTTTTTCTTTTATTACAATATCTTTCTATATATATGTATATATATATACGTGTGTATAATTGGATGAAACTTTCTTCATGATTATCGTTTCCGATTGATGATCTGGTGATGATGCTCTTCTGATCGCCATTCTCCGCGGCGTTTCTGGATTCTCAGCTTTTCCGTTTCTGTCTTTTCTTCGTCGCTTATTCGGTGAATTCCTTTTCCTCTCTTTCTCTTGTAATCATTTTTGTAAGGTTTCGGGTTTCGTTATGATTTGATTGGCAGAAGAGAAAATAAAAGTTTTTCAATTGACGTTTTGTATTTCTTTAGTTTTGGTTTTCACGGTATGGTAATCGTATGGAATGGTGTGGAGTTTTGGATTTGGTAAATCGTCTCGGAGGTTGATTTCATTTTGATTTGATTGGTAGAAAAGAAAAGAAATAAAAATTTGCAGCTAATTCGACATCGTTTCCGTTTGATGAAATCGGATACTTATTCACCATAGTTCTCTTGGCAATCAACTCTTTCGCTTTGGTACGTGGTTAATCTTATCGAATTGTATAGAATTTCGGGTTTTGTCAACGATTTCGTTCAATCAACGTCGGAGGTTTATTTTAGTTCAATTTGATTGGCAATCATTCTGTTCTTTCTTTCTTTCTTTTTATTTTTTCCAATCGTCTTGATCAAAATCCAAAATTTAGATTTTCTTTTGGCGATCTGGAGATGAGCTAGCGATAGTGATTCCGGAAACTGGTGAAAGCAACGACGGATCCGGTGGTGGAGAGGAGGGGAAGGGGCTCTGACTGTTTAGTAGGCCTGGAGTGCTTGCTGGAAATAGTCAGGGCCCTAGGAATGGGCTCCTGCCTCGCCGGTGAAGGCCCCGCCGGCGCTGGCCTTGCATACAGTAGGGCCTCATTGTCATCGGAGAAGAGGAAGGACCGGATGAAGCTCAGGAGGACTACGTCGTCCTCATCCTCCTCCTCAGCGGTTGACGCTAAGATGGAGTTATGGCTGCGCCGAGTGCCCGGGAGGATGTGTCTGAACGGCTTCTCCGATACAGCGTCACTTTTCACTAAGCAAGGCAAGAAAGGAGTCAACCAGGACGCCATGATCGTCTGGGAGGTACTTTCCTGCTTTGGACTTTTTGTTTTCTATTTGTCCAGTCAGAGAGTACGTTTGCTGTTGGGTTTTCATTTTCTTATTATTTAATCAGGGTAATTGATTTATTCAATCTTACCCTGGATACCTTGGTTGTTTTAAGGGTAAAACCTGGGTGAGGCCGTTTGATTCAAGGGCTTCCGTTTTACAATTGGAGTCATATGAAAATAACTTTATGTCAGGTAGTTCCAATTGGGTTTACTAAATCATGTTCCTGATATAACGGTCTATTGGATTAACTGTAATGTGAAAACTTTGATAATGCAACGGCTAAAGATCACCAATTCTACATGGTCGATTGGATTAACTGTAATGGAATTGGTCCTTTGGGAAGTTGGAATGTGAATTCCTTATTGTAATTGCTTCCTTGGAGACTCTATTTATTGGTTCTGAAAACGAGGTTCTTCTGTTTTGCAGAATTTCAGTTCAAAGGCAGATACCACCTTTTGTGGTGTATTTGATGGCCATGGTCCTTATGGACATTTGGTTGCCAGAAAGGTGAGGGACTCTCTACCTTTAAAGCTGAGTTCCCTGTGGGAATTAATTATTAGCTCCAAAAATGGGCTTGCCGGAGGCAGTATTGGTGCTATGGGAAGTCTCAACCCTGAAGAGATTGCATCCACACCTGCGCTTGCAAACGGTGATAAACATACTCAGATTTTTTCGACATTGAAAGATTCATTTCTGAAAGCTTTTAGGGTAATGGACAAGGAACTCAAACTTCATCCTCATATTGACTGCTATTGCAGTGGGACAACAGCAGTAGCCCTGGTCAAGCAGGTACTTTGATATTTTACACAACTCTGTCTTTCTTTACCTGTGATGAAACCCAAACATGTGCTCTAATATCTGGAGTTTGTTTACAGGGCCAAGACCTTGTTATTGGAAATATCGGGGACTCGAGAGCCGTGTTGGGTACCAGAGATAAGGATAACCCCTTCATTGCAGTTCAATTGACTGTTGACCTTAAACCAAGTATTCCAAGTATCTCTCTCTCCCTAATGTTGGCTGAATAAACTAACAATAACTTGTTCTGGAACTTGGATCCCTGCTTTTATTATTGTATATTTTCAAGATGCTGTAGTATGTATTATACTGTTCATATCCTTATTTCTACATTGAGAACGCAAGATTTCATATCAATTCACAGATTCTGGTGTGTATCTAATAAAATAAATCATTTGAAAAACTTGTGTTTCCATGTAGAGGAAGCAGAGAGGATTAGACTATGCAAGGGGCGGGTATTTGCACTAAAAAGCGAGCCTGAGATTACTCGAGTTTGGCTGCCTAACTATGACTCTCCTGGTCTTGCTATGGCTCGGGCCTTCGGAGATTTTTGTCTAAAAGACTTTGGCCTAATTTCTGTCCCTGATGTTTCCTATTACCGTGTCAGCGACAAGGATGAATTTGTTATATTGGCAACAGATGGGGTAAGAGGTTAACCTTTGTAATGATTTTTCATAAGTATTTATTTTGTAACTGATAATTGATATTCTAACCCAACCTTCTCCGCCTAAAAATAAAATGATGGCTCATATTATTCTTACTACTATTACTTGTGTGGATTTTTTTTTTCTTTTTGAGGATCTTGTGTGGATTTTGATTCACTAACTAATTTGATTCTTTCAATTGCTTTGCTACCTTGATAATTACCATATACAGTGTGCATATATGCCTCAAGCTCGTACTGTCAAATTGAGCTGTGACGTTTATCCATGGGAAAAAAAAAAAAAAAAAAAAATATAAA